CAGTAAGACAAGATGATTAGTACACCATGTTAAATCTTAGCTCTGGTCTTGATAAATATGGATGCTGGTGGCCAAGCATCTGACAATGAATCTTTAACTGTTTCATCTAAGATAAAATAGGCTCTGTGCTTATTCAGAGGGCAGAGAAGTGACACAGTGGTATATTCAATCTATACAATAGAAAACAGGGGACTAGTCACTGGTTAAAGTCAGAGTCCTTCCAGTTTGTGAATACCACCTACAGGTGATTTTAGTCAGATAACAAAAACCCCATTTATATAAGTTAAGGGGGGGAAAGCATTCTAGGGTCCACCATTTTGTGTGTGGTTTATTTTTTTGTTGTTGTTTTGTTTTGTTTTGGTCATCATTGGAAAACTTTCTGAGGTTCAATAGGCAAAGTGCTTGCACACAAGCATGAGGAACTGAATTCAGATCCCTAGTACCCATGTAAAAGCCAGGTGAGGAGATGCACAACTGTAATGCCAATGCTGGGAGGTGGAGACAGGAGGATTATGGTTTTGCTGGCCAGTCTACACAAAAGGTGAGCTCCTGTTTCAGTGAGAGATACTGTCTCAAAAATCAAGGTAGAGAACAGGACAGATGGTTTGTTGGTTAAAAGTGCTTACTCTTCTTCAGAGCACCTGGGTGCAGTTCCCAGCAGCCACATTAGGTGGCTGCAACTGTCTGTAACTCCAGTTCCAAGGGACCTGATGACATTCTCCTGAACTCCCCAGGTACAGGGTATGCAGGTGGTGCTCATCCATACACACAGGCACTCACACGTATACATAAAATAAGAATAAATGCATGTTTTAAAACAGGCAGAGAGCAAGAGAGGTAGAGACTGTTGGTGCCAAAGGTAGAGACCACACAGAGGCGGTGCCAAGTGTGTACGTGCACACACAGAGGCGGTGCCAAGTGTGTACGTGCACACACAGAGGCGGTGCCAAGTGTGTATGTGCACACACAGCACAGAAGGTGGGTTAATTACTGGGGGGGGGGGGGAAGGGGCAAAAGCAGTCACAAGCCTTGACTTTGTAAAGTTCTCTCTCGCACAGCTTTCTTGCACAAAAGATTTTGTTAATTGGTGAAATAAGATGAGACATCAGAAGTTGTGATGTTGTGATCATTTCTACTCATAATTTCTGATTACAGTTCAAAATATTTATCCCATATGACTAAGAAGCAAAGAGTGAAAAACAGGATTGTACATTAAATGCTCACAGTGCTGAGGTAGGCAATATAGAAAGTCCAGAAAACTACATAGCAATCATATAGTTGAGAAGTATCAAAACTGAAAGGCAACTAGATTAAACTAAGTAACTTAAAATTTGAGTCTGTCCTTCATAAAACCTAATTTCATTCTAACCAAGTCACTTCCCCTCAGGCCTATGTCCAGAAAATGATGTTTCAATGTGTGAAGTTCTCCACTGTCCTTCGGCATAAGGGAGAAAGACCAATGGTTGTTAAATGTGACCTATGTCCATGTAGCCTTTCACAGATCCCAGACTGGGATGGAACTTAGAACAGAGTCTGAAATCTTAGCCTGTCATCTCCAGTAGACCTTGGTCATTACCAGCCTGATATTTTTAGGCAACAGGAAGAGTAAACTGGTACATTTCTCCAAATGTGGGCAAATTTACCACTTATAGCCTTGTGTGTGAGTGTGTGTGAACGTGTGTGTGTGTGCGCGCGCGCGTGTTTGTGAGATTTTTAAGTATGACCTACCCTCAAAAAGGTCTATTTATTCTAGATCAAAACAAGCTTGTTACATGGAGCATAAGAAGAAAGTGTAGACGAATACAAGGAAGTAAACGTTCCACCGATGTGGTACAAGAAGTCTAGTGAAACTAAGACCATAGAAATCACAGAACGTTGGGTAAAGCTAGTCATAGGTTCCTTTTTTCTTCAAAACTTTATCTTTGTGATCGCTCAGAAATTGTTATATTTAAATGTTTTCTAGGCATTTACTTTGTTTTCCTTCGTTGTGGTGTTTCCACTTGAAAACTCAGCATCTTTCAACTAGGATTCCTCAACTGAACCAAAGGACTCACAAAATGATTTATACGATATGTTTTCTAAATTTTCCCAGGAATGGTTTATAACTAGTTCCACTCCAGCAGCACAGGAGGGATATGATGGGTGCCTTTGTGCACCAGAGTTTAATTTTCTCAAGAGATCTCACAGTTACTCAGAAGAGAAAAATCTTTTTTTTTTTAATACTCATAGTTTTCAGTAAAGTTGGCTGATACCCATCTAAATTCTATTTATCTGTGGAAAGTAATGCTCATTTGGGGCTGGAGAGATGGCTCAGAGGTTAAGAGCACCAGCAGCTCTTCCAGAGGTCCTGAGTTCAATTCCCAGCAACTACACGGTGGCTCACAACCATCCATAATGAGATAGGCGCCCTCTTCTGGCCTGCAGGAATATATGCAGACAGAACGCTGTATACATAATAAATAAACAAATCTTTAAAAAATAATGCTCATTTGCATTTATCAAGTCATTTGTCATGCTCTAGTTCCACTTCATCTTTCATGTTAGTGAAGTAGAGTCAGAAACATGGTAAATAATAAAAAATGTATGCTGTGGGATGGTCTGTATGTCAAATAAAACACTGATTGGCCAGTGGCCAGGCAGGAAGTAGGTGGGACAAGGAGAGAGGAGAATTCTGGGAAGCGGAAGGCTGAGGCAGAATGCCAGACTGCCAGCTGCCGCCATGACCAGCAGCATGTGAAGTCGCCGGTAAGCCACCAGCCACGTGGCAAGGTATAGATTTATGGAAATGGATTAATTTAAGCTATAAGAACAGTTAGCAAGAAGCCTGCCACGGCCATACAGTTTGTAAGCAATATAAGTCTCTGTGTTTACTTGGTTGGGTCTGAGCGGCTGTGGGGACTGGCGGGTGACAAAGATTTGTCCTGACTGTGGGCAAGGCAGGAAAACTCAAGCTACAAATGTAGAAGTGTAAAGATTAGAAATTTTTCTTTCAAATGTTTTGAAAAATTACCTTTAAGGCACAAGAACAGAACTTATTGCTAGAAGTTTTGTTGGTATGTTAATTTGTTCAGTCTAATTTAGCCATAAAAGTAGTAATATGGTATTGTTTTCTTAATGACTATATCCAAAGTCTAGTAAGCAAACTTTTTTCTGTAAAGGGTGAAACAGTCAATATTTTAAATAACTGTGTAGCAGTGGTCATTGTGGCAACTCTGCATGTGCTGTCACAGTTCCAAAACACAAAACATACATAAACAAACTTGCATGGAAGGGGACAACTGTGTTTCAATAAAACTTCATTTTAAAAACTAGGTCTACATAGTAATTAGCTGACCTCTGACCTCCAACACAGTATTGTTTATAGTAATGGCAGGAAATAGACAAGATGAAGTAGGGATAGTTCCATTACTGTGCTTTTTTACGATTAGCAGTGCTAAGACTATATAACTAGATTGTGAGTTGAAGACTAAAGTTTTAATCTTAAAATCTCAAGTGGATTTAAACTCAGTAGAGGAAGGCACTTGCTGCCAAGTCTGACAACCTGAATTTGATCCCTGGAACTCAGAAGATGCAAGGAAAGAACTGTCCTCTGATCTCATATGTGCATATGACACTCATGGATCCATACACACACATAATACACACATACAAAACATTTTAAAAAGTTAAAAAGTATATTCATACAATATGGGATAATTCTGGAAATAGGCAAAAGGCAGAATACTTTTTCTGACCACCTAATTAAAGAAAACTATTAGTTGAATCTACTTGGAATAAACAGAATGCTGATAACTGACAAATACAAAACTAAACAAGCCTGTTGGGTTACATATTCTTTGCAATATTAACTGATCATCAGTTCAACCTTACTCAGTACTTAGTAGGAATTGGAGAATATTATTTTAAGATGTGTTACACTCCTTTATGCTGTGAAACATTTGTTTAATGATGCTTTGGCATTCTTTTATGTTGCATTTGTTTAACTCTGTGAAGCTGTGTTACTTTGCCTGTCTAAAACACCTGATGGTCTAATAAAGAGCTAAACAGCCAACAGCAAGGCAGGAGAAAGGATAGGTGGGGCTGGTGGGCAGAGAGAACAAATAGGAGGAGAAATGTGGGAGAAAAGATTGAGGAGCAGGATAAGGAAGAGGACTCCAGAAGCCAGCCACCCAGCTACACACCAAGCCACTGAGTAAGAAGTAAAGAAAGGTATACAGAAATAGAGAAAGGTAAAAGCCCAGAGGCAAAAGGTAGACGGGATACTTTAAATTCAGAAAGCTGGCTAGAACAAGCCAAACTAAGGCTTGGCATTCATAAGAAAGTCTCTGTGTGTGACTTGGGAGTTGGGTGGCGGGTCCCCCAGAGCCAAAAGAGTAAAGAGTAAAAACAAACAACAACATCACTAGAAACTAAGTAAAACAGAAGCTATGTATAGTCATAAGTTCTTAACTAGGATCATGTTTTAAAGTCACCTGAGAATTCATTTTGGGAGAGCCTCTCTCTCTTAATATATATATATATATATATATGTTTAAGTCCAGGATGGAAATATGGAAAAGTCTGCTTGGTAACCCTAAACACCCCTGGCTTAGAATGGTTGCCCAACGCTTGTAGTTTACAGAGCGATGAAACTATGAACATTTTCTAATCTACAATCAGCAGTTTTGTTGTTGTAGATTAAGTAACTGGGCTCTGGAACCAACAGTGGGTTTCCATTTCCATTTCTGCCATTTCCTAGCGGTACAACACTGAGACATGTCTCCATGGCTGAGCTGCCTTATGGATAATGTGGATATAACAGTATTCAATTCAGAGCACTGGGAGAATAACTCAATTAAAAACTATACCATCACATTTCAAAGACTTGGCATGGTGAAGGCATCAAGCCCACGATAGCTACGAACTGTTTATTATACATCCCTAAATTCCCGGATTCAAGGCTCAGTCTTTCCACACTGTCAGCACAGCGGCGTGGCAGCTCTGGCCTGCCTTATACTAACCAGCAGAAGAGGTGTCCTTTGCCGCAGTCCACGGCAGGGGCTCTCAGCAGGGGGAAGCTGAGCGTGTCAGCCCCCGAGGGACTGGACCCCTGCTTGGTCAGCCGGACTGCTCTTTCGCAGCCTGCAGTAGGACACCATTTAATGGCAGGATTGTTTTCAACAAAGGCCTGTTTAAAAATCACAAGAAAAACAAAAGAAACTGTATCAGCTACAAATTCTCAAACAGAGAGGATCTCCACACGGACTAAAAGCAAATAAAAGAACAAAATCAAACACAAGAGTTCAGCATTATAAAAATAGTAAAAACAGCACTGGAAATGTGTTAGAAGCAAAAATGAGGCATTTACCTTAGTAATAGAATGATTTGCAAAACTTATTTTCTTTAATCTAAAACTAGGTAAATGATAATAAAGTAAAAATGCAATTATCTGCATAAAATGTCTACCATGAGAATGGTTACATACTGTGCTACTTTTTTGATTAAATGTAAGCAGAAACTTATGTATAATTACAGGTTATATTTTAATACTAAATTTCTAAATGTCATCTTGATAAGTACATAAAAATCAGTATTACAATACATTAAAGAAGTAGGGCCTATTTTTTTTAAGATTACATAATAGAATTTAGAGTAAGAAAAATCTATTCAAAGTAACTGAAATAAAAAATTTAAGTTACATACACACAAAAAAGAGTAATTTGCATGTTTCTGATTAACTCCTAAATGAAAACAGAAGATAGGAAAAAAGATAAAAAAAATATAATTTATTGAATTAAACTATTATTTCAAATAAAAATGACTAATTTCCAAGTTAAAATTTTCTTTCTATATATTCCTCTCAGGAGTATAAAATATTGTTGTGGGGGAGAGTAGGTACTATAAATGCTATTTTCATCGATCACTTATAAAAATGGGACAAGCAATTTAGTAAACAGCTCTTTTGTGGGGCTTAACTTTGCAATGCTGCTCTGGTTTCCAGTTTTTATCACATATGCATTTTTCTCTGGAAATAGAGAACACCATTATGTTTATAAAAGTACAACATAGGCTTAGTAAACTGGCCCCATACCTTAATATCAAACTGTAGGTAGCGTTTGTCCATCTCCTTAGAAACTACACTTTCTATAATATCCACAGGCACAAGTTGAAAGCACTCATATGCAGGGCAGAAAATGTTATGGGCTTCACCTTCTTGAATTTTCAGATTTAAAAACCTGTTAGAATATCAATTAACAGAGAAAAGGGAGAGGATGTAAGTTATTTATACAACCTAATGATTTTTTTTCTTTTTGATGATTTTTCTATGAGAGTGTGGTTAAAATAGCACCATTGCACTATAGAGTGCAATGGTCTATGTGTAGCATGCACCGAGACCTGTGTTTCTTCTCCAGTCCTCACTCTCTGCCAGAGCTGCATGTGGAAGCTAGCTCACTGTAACTGCACTCGAGAGGCTGAGGCTGGATGGAGGGCTTTGAGTTTGCAAGAGAGCCTAAGACTACATTAGAGTGAAAACCTGCCCAAATCTAAAATCCAGACCAACTATAATCAAGCCAAACAAACAAAGAAAGCATACCAATAAAACATGGATTATCATCTTACACTTAGTACTTGCTCCAGCACCTCTCTCACACACACATACATACACTTTTTTATATAAGTTTCTATTTGTTTTACTTTGTCATATGAAAAATCTGAAACATTTTTCACATAAGAAAACTCAGAACTGAGTGACCTAGAAAGGTCATTTTAATTTTCGATATTTTATCCCTTTAAATACAAGGAAAATTATCCAGAGATAAATGAAGTTTTTTATAGCAGCAATGGAGTACAGAGCATACTCTTTAAAAGAAAATGTTTTCCTTTATATTTCATTAGATGAATATTAAAATGAGTTCTATGTTATATTCTATGTACACTAATGATGTAATAAGAAAAAGGCACATTGCAAAGTAGAAAGAAGTATAAGGTGAATGAACTCATTCACAAAAAGTTTTGAGCTAGAAAAATTTTAGTCTTTAATGATCTTTAGCGATTTATTTTAATGACAAAAGCCTTATTTTCACCATATTTTAATGAGGGTACCAATATGTACTTCCCAGGGCTGTTACACAGATTAGATAGAAAAATATATGCAAAAGACCTGGTATTGATTAAGAATCTGTATGTTTTAGAAGGTGTTATAACTGTTATTTAATATGTATATACAAGCAAGAAATAAACTTTTTAAGTCTGGATTTTAACAGATTTAAAAACAAAAATTTTTTTTTTGAGACAAGCTCTTATGTCCCCTAGGAGGGTCTCAAACTTGCTATATAACTGAGAATGTCCTTGAATTTCTGGTCTTCTTGCCTCTACTTCAACAACTTTGTGTTGTTGGGATTACAGGCATGTGCCAGCAGGCCAGGTTTATACTAAGGTTGGAATTTATGCATGTTAGCCAAGCATTCTACCAACTTGGATACCTTCCTAACTGTGGATTATACTTTATTTAACAATTCTAGAGAAAACAAATGGAGAATAAGCAACTAAATTATGACTGCCTGGTTATTATGATCAATAACTTTTGATATCTCCTTCCTTTAGTGCTATCTATTAATTTCACTGCACTTAGGAAGAAAAAAAAAATCAAGGGAGACTTAGAATGACGGCATTAGACATGAGGTTTAAGCCTTACTATCCAGAAGAATGTATCTGTGTGGGTGGAAAAGAAAAATTTCCTTGTCTTTCATTCCTTGGCACAGCTCCCCAGAGCATCTGGCTGCAATGACGATGTAGGGAAGATGGGAAGAGTAAAGTAGATGGGAGATTCTCAGGCTCACGCTGTTCTTCATTAACGCCAAGTTTCATTTTTCTATGTGCCACTGGAAGGATGTTTTGAAAAAGTCTTCACATTTATTTCTTTGTGTGGAGGTGGGGCACACACACCAGTGTGCATGCAGAGACCAGAGGACAACCTGCAGCAGCCAGTCCTCTCCTGGGGAGCACACCCAGGCCCTCAGGCTTAGAGGCCAACGCCATTACTTGCTAAGTTATCATCCCCTGGCCAGACTGCTGTTAGTTTTTAAAGAATCTTTTGAAATTGATATATCAGCCACACAATTTGTTTTACTGGTGTCTGATTTGACCAGAGCTGTCTTGAATCAGGTGGACAGTACTAGATAGCAAGTACAAGGAAAACAGGAAGACAGTATTAAATCTTACCAAAACCTTTTACTGATTAGTCTTAGATAAGAATGGGGACTAGGGGCTGGAGAGATGGCTCAGAGGTTAAGAGCACTGGCTGCTCTTCCAAGGGTCCTGAGTTCAATTCCTAGCACCCACATGGTGGCTCACAACCATCTGTAATGAGATCTGGTGCCCTCTTCTGGCAGCAGGTATACATGCAGGCAGAACATTGGTATACATAATAAAATAAATCTTTAAAAAAAAAAAGAATGGGGACTAATTCCTATGACACTAGTTATGTAAGCAAGTTCAATAAAGGCTAAAAAAATTCAAGTAATTCCCAAGCAAGGTTAATTTTCACAAAGGAATCAAGTTCAACAACCACAAAATGTAAAACCCAGTTAACACTTCCTCAAATAGTACAGTTAACACTTTAAAACTGAATAGCTGCTCCAGAACTGGGTCAAAACTGCTTTAGTCTGTGGGTTTGGACCCGTGAATTACTTGACTTGTATCAGCTATACTGACTTGATCCTAGTAGACTAAAAAGTCTAGTCTATATTTAAAATTTAAAACAAAACCAGGAATATTTAGTTATTCTGAGTTTTTGAAAAGCAGTTTGTTCCCTCCCACTGAAGTTCTGCTTCATACTGTTGCAGAAAACAAACAAGTACCACAAATGAAACCAGTATACAGATCAGGATGTTTTATATAAATTTATGAGTGGAGGGAGGCGGGGGAGGATGACAGAGAGGCAGAAATGTGTACAGGAGAGATTCAAGGATAAATGGTTAAGTTTTTAATGCATATATGCATATTTGTGTGTGTCAGGCACACACGTGTGTGTGTGTGGGGGGGAGTGTGTGTGTGTGAAGGCCAGATGATCTTCAGAGTTATCCTAGAAACACTATCAGCCACCTCCTTTTAGACAGTCTCCCAATGTCATGGAACTGAGTGCAGCCCCAGTGTTAAGACTTGTCTACCTGTCTAGCACTGGGACTAGAATGCACACTGCTATGCTCGACGCTTCTGTGTGTGCTCCCGGGACTGAGCTTGGCCTTCTATGCTTGGGCGACCATTTCACTCACTAAGCTAGCTCCACCCCAGTGAGGACATTTGGGAAGCTCATGGAGATATTCAGTATCTTGATTGTGGTGATTGTTTCATGGTATATACATGTCTCAATTTATGAATTAATTTAGTTTAAGTGTATAGGCTGATACATGTCAACTGCACCACAGCAAAACTGTAAAACAAAGCAATACAAAACAAAAAACAAATGCAGAAAACCTGCTAGGCCTTTGCTTTCTCACTCATGTAATGCTCCCCAGAGCCCTACACTGATACCCAATATTCCATGAAAAAAGCATGAAAGATTTTCTTAGACACTTATGACATACTTTGCTTCAATCATCAAATGAAGCTCTGTGTGCGTCCAGAGAAGTGGGGGCCATTTTCAGGTTCCTCGTGGCTTTACCCAGCAGGTCTGCATATAGAGGATGATTGGACCACGGGCCTGAGTGCAGGTGTCTGAGATGGTCTGCACTTGGCTGTGCTGGGGGGAGGTCTTTTGCTCCAGCCGTGGCGTTTCTATAAATACCCTGGGGCAGAGGCAGTCAGGGCCCATTGGAATAGGTTCCAGGCCCTCTCGAGGCTATCCTTTATTTTCTGATTATCTCCACAATCTAAATCCTTCTATCTAATATTTCCTGCTGCTCGCACTCAAGACAACTCTGAGGAACTGTGGGGTTGGTGGTAAAAGCTCCACACAGAGATAGTAAGATACTGTACTGCTCATTTATATTGTCTTCATTTGCTTCACGAGCTCTCTCAAAAAGTGCAACTATAAAGTTAACATATAATGAAAATGTATAAATCTAAGAAAGGTATTAAAGAGGAAATGAGAGAAAAACATGAGAATCAAAAACACTTTCCATTGTAATACACACCCAATCTCTAGCATAGGCATTTGACTTCGGAATAACAAAAAAGAATTTCAAATATCTGCATTCTTACAGATTTTCAAGGCTATTTGCTTTAAAAAATTCAGACACCACAAATGCTTAAAATTCGTGGGATAGAAGACAGAAACTGATTCTTGATATTGAGGTTACATCTGAAATTTATATTATGTGTAATATAAATAAAAATACTAATACAATTGTTTAGACATCAATATACTTTGATGTCAAAGAGGAAAAACAAAATATTCTTTGTATATTTCAGTGTAACTCAGAAACCAATGTAAATGATCCACACCATTAAATACTGAAAGTAAACACTGTCATGATCAAACCAAAGGGGCTACTATGAAGTGAGAGATGAATAAGCTGCTCATATACTCACGACTCCCAACATCCTCTACAGAAATCATGTCCACAGGGCATATCCACGGGGTCTTCAAATACAGAAATACTGCACATGCAAATGTCACACTGGAGATAAACAAGAGAAGTGATTTAACAGGGCCATACTCTGAAGAGAAGCAATACAGTCATTTTGTTCAATAGTTTAATGACAAAAATTATAAATCTTAGAAAATTAAATGTTCCAATGCTACCAAGTCTGTTAAGAGTGCCTGGCTTGGACTGAATAATAAATATCATGACTGCCTTTTTTTTATATCTGCTATGGTATTTAATGTCTTAGTGCAAAAACCAAACTAAGTTTCCTTATTAAGCAACACTGTGGAGTAGGAAAGGGAAACACAAGAAACAAATCCTTAGCATCTACTCAGATCAAGACCACACAGGCACACGACGACCACTTCAGTGTGTGTCTTGCACTGTATGCTCACTGTGGAAACAGAGCAACTTTGTGCTTTGAATACAGAAATTCAGGATTTTAAAGTGGCAACTTGGGCTGGGAATGTAGCTCAGTGGTACAGTGTTTACCTAGCAGGGGTGAGCTCCTGAGTTCAAATGCTAGCACCTCCTACCTCACCTCCACCCCCAAAATAAGTAGCAAAGTCAAGTCTTCATGCAAGGAAGTCTGATACAAAACCATGTTACCTTTTAACAAGACTTATAAGAAGCAAACTTTATGTTAAAATGTCAATTACAGAATAGAATTTTGATTTCCTAAATGGTTCCTAGACAAGACAAAGGGTGCGTTCATCTTTATTACAAATTTGGAGTGGCTAAACCACTTGAGCATATCTCCTCCACAGCCCACCAGTTGCATGCTGGTTAGGCAGTACTGCTCCCCATAAAGGAGAAACGTTATTAAGGAAATGCACTGAATGACCAACTCAGAGGCTTTGCTAAAACAAGCAAATGATCATAAAAAATTCTGTAAATGCTTTAAAAATTAGCATTCAGCAAATGATTTTAAAAATTATGTTTTAGGTTAAGCATGCATACTACAAACTAAGTTTTAGTATTTCATGTATGTTGTATTTAATACTTTTAGGTGAAAATATAGTACATGGCTTTTCCAAAGTGAGCAAATATTATGCTTTTCAACCTATAATTCAGGGATCACAAAAACATTCTGTGGTAATAAGAATTTACCAAAGCATGAAAATAACTGAACCTTCAAAGCAAGGTACAACATTCAGTTGCAATAATATAATGGTTCCTAGACAAGACAAAGAGTGCGTTCATATTTATTACAAATTTGGAGTGGCTAAACCATTCAAGAAGCATATGAACTCCATGGAACAGTACCACATAGTTTGAAAGTCAAAAGACTGAAAGCGAAACTATGGGAAGTACACTAAGCCATACCAAACTGGTATCTAAGTCCCCAGGAGACAGACTGATTTCATCTGGAGAGGTGACAGAGGAGCGTGTGGTCCGTGGAGTTCTCGGGGAAGGAAGTGTGTCCCAGGCATTGCACCCACTTGGTGGTGGGGTTGGCATCTGCACACCTGACCGTTGGCAGCAGTTCTCTGGGTTGGACATCCAAGCTTCAAGTAATTTCTCTCTGTCCCAATCTTCAGGAAATATAGAACAGATGTCTATCAAAACCCAGAAACTACAATGTTTGAAACCTGTTATTAGTAATAACAGAAACAGGATAAATGAAGAAGATACATGTCACCCAAGTTAAAAAAAAAATCACAGAATTGATGTACAATAGTAATTAATTACCAAGGCACGTCTAGGTAGACTGAAGTTAGTAATATTTTTAAATAGAATTTAAACTCCTATTACAAATATCAAATTCTAAGAATGTGCTCAGAATTTCCAGTAATTTCTACTGATATTTTAAATAGATGGCTTACATCATTTAGAATTTACTAATTTTTTGGTAGAGGTTTAATTTAGCCACTTTCCTCTTTTAATTCATAATTATGCAACTATCTTCACAATGGTCTCTAGCTATAAAATGATTATATAGTCCTACAGGTCATTTGGTAAAGAGCTTGAAAGCAGAAGGAACTTCCCAAGGCAATTGGGTTATAAGTAAGGTTTTAGTGAATTAAATATAAATCTGTATTAGGGGAGCTTAAATCTGTCTTTATTTAAAACAGATAATTATCCTTCTGTGAATGGTTAAGTGAAACTTGTTATTATGAAGTCCAGAGCCACAAAAATCCAGTTGTTTTTTTTTTAAATAACAAACTAAAATATTCAATTATTTTGCTTGGGGTTGTATATATAATATGTAAGTTACTTAATTTATTTCTCCCAACGAAGTTCTCAGTTATTATTCAGGTGAAGAAACCAAGATGCAGGGAAGTTACTTAACTTACCCAAGCTCAGAGACTTGAAACCTCTTTGGGATTCCAAGAGTGTGTTCTTTTCCCCACCACACACTGTCAAGTGTACTAAAAGTGCCCCCCATTCAAATGTAAAACAGAATGATATAGCCTAGTCACAGCACTTATTCACAAGAACCAAAGTCAGCCTACAAACGTGATACCTGGATGGTCATGTTTATCTTAACACTAACTGTAATGGCTAATGGATTCAACCTAGGTACTAAACAACAGATGAATAGACAAAGAAACCCCCTTACACCAATCTTGGTGATAATCAACAGATAAACAGTCAAAGAAGCTCTCCCCCGCCATCAACCTAGGTAATAATATGCAGATGAACAGACAAAGAACCGCCCCCACATCAACCTAGGTAATAATCAACAGATGAACAGATAAAGAACCCCACCCCACATTAACCTAGGTAATAATCAACAGATGAATAAAGAACCACTCCCAATCAACCTAGGTATTAAACAGATGAACAAAGACCCCCCTCCTGCCATACATACACACATCAACCAACCTACGTAATAATCAACAGATGAACAGATAAAGAACCCCCCCGCCCCCGCACCATACACACACTAACATAACTTCTAAAAGTTTTACTAAAAACCAAGTAAAATTGATTAAAGCTTTTTATGTAGGGCCATGGCTTTTCTATTCTACTTCTCATTTTTTATGCCAACCATATCAGAAAACACTGTCTATAATTTCTGTTATTTACCTAGTGTACATAGAACCCTACATACAATTACGATCTCCCTTTTCTCTGTTGTTTCACTCATGGAAAATTTAAAAAGTTACCTGCCCTTTTTAATGCTTAAAAAATCTGATTTAGATCTCAGAAAAAGACATTTTCAAATATGTTTTATCAGTAGTGGTTCATTACATTATATAGTCACAGCTGATAATGCTCGGGACACATTCAAGTTAAATGCACAAATACTCTGAACAGGAACATCCAGTCTACTGACAAAGAGAACACTGCAAGTCAAGCTAAACTGACACTGGCAAAACTATGCACCATATTATAATGCCAACCGCTCCATAAAGAAATTAGGAAAACAAGCACAGGATGACAGACACCCTAAGGCCAACTAGATCTTACTCTTGGAATAGGAAAGTGGTTGAGTGTAGTTCAGCTACAGTTGAGTATTATAAAAGGAAACTTATAACATCAGTATGTTCAAGAGAAAAACAGTATTAGCATTTCTTCTTAAGACTGAAAAAAGTGAAACACATTGAAAAATGATTCTTGACTTTTAAAGAAAGCTTAAAAGAAGATTGGTCCTGGAGAAGTCCCACAAAAGACCACCATCCATGTATGCAATCAACAAGAGTTTATTATCTTGAGAGTAAAGGTACCAGCATGCTGGGGCTGCCCATCCAACACAAAGGCAAGATGGCGACTCTGAGAGAAGCTCGCAGGCTCCTTTTAAGCACAGCTAAGGGGAGTTTCAGGGACAGTTAGGCCATCTCAGATATGATTGGCTTACATGAGTGGCAATCATATTAGTCTGTTCTAATTGGCTAGGGCTAGCAGGGGCTGGTGACAGCTACAGTTTTCCCAATTTTGCGCAGGCCTGGACAAGTTCCAGGCTCTGTCCTTATTTGGTTATTACATTGAGCTACTGGCTGTGGGGGCAGGCCCAGTGGCCAGGCTTGGTACATGCTATCTCCCTTGTACCTGCTGTCCGGGGCGTTGAAGATTGATTGACCTTTGTTCGTGGCTTCCTCAGAAACTGTCTGTCCAGTTTCAAGAGGCAGGAACTGAGGCCTAGTTCTTAAGTGAATTATTGGGAGCCTGTCATGGTATTTTCCTGGCCTTCTCAGTTAGCAGAGTGAAAAGACAGCTAGCTTGAGAACAGGAGAAAATCTTAAGCAGATATACTGCTAAAATTAACCACCACCCTCCTCCCCAACTGTCAGTCAATAAATGGACTAATGAGCCAAACACACAGCTCTCAAAACAAACACAAAGGTCAATATACATTTTTTAAGTGTTCAACATCTTTAGCCACTGAGATTCCATCTTACTCTATCCAGAATCACTAAAGAATAAAAACGATGAATGCTAGGACAAGGATGTGGAAGGCGAGAGACCCTTCTGCACTGCTGGCTGTGGCGTTAACTGGTAGAGCCACTATGCAAATCAGTATATAGGTTTCTCAAAAACTGGAAATAAAACCACCACATCCGACATAGCTTTACCACCTCTTATGGGCACATCCTCCAAGTATTCTATACTAGACCACAGAGATACTGAACATCATTGCTTACTGTTACTCTAGTCACAAAAGCAAGGAAATGGAACCAGTCTACATGGACTTCAACAAATGAAGATAATGAAAATATGGCACATGTACACATTCAGATTTTATTTATCTCTAATGAAAAATGAAATAACCAAATTTTCAAGAAAACTGGATGTCTAGAAATTATTATATTGAAGCAACCCAGACTTAGACAAATACTGCATATTCTCCCATACATGGGCCCTAGCCTTTAATTTTTATATATGGGTGTAAATATGGGTATGTCACAAACTAGAAAGGGGACGAGATGGAAAAAGGTTTTAAGGAAGCATGGAGGGTACTGGAACACAGTGACATTAAGGAGGAACAGGGACTATGGGGACCGCAAGGGTGACAGGTGGCAGAAGAATGGAGAGGAGAGTATGGGAGGATCAACTAAACAGTGAATGCTAACTAAAAAGCAAAATAAGAAATCTGCACACATGTGGTCAACTGAGGTTTTAGTTGAAAAGGCAATGAAACAGTAGAGTAGAGTTTTCAGTAAAGGACAAATCTCCATGCAAAAATTATAATGTTAATATATATCTTGTAAAAACGAACTAAAATTTTATCATAAAACTGGACCTGGGGATGTAGCTTGGTGGTAAATATCTTGCCTAGCATACACGGGACCCAAGGATACTATACTATAGTATATACTAAACTAGCTATAGTATCAAAAAAGAAGCTATAAAGCACAAAGAAAACACAGGCTAAGTCATGCATGGTGGTATACAATTGTGACCTTATACCGGGGAGCCTGTGTCAGGAGGACTGTGGCAAGACCAGCCTAGGGTACAGCAAAATCTTACCACAAACGAGCCAACCAGCAAATCAGTCAATTAATCAAACGCTTCAAAATTCTAGATAAAATCTTGATAACTTTAGGTTAGACACAGGATTTACTAGGTATAGTTGGCAACAGCATGATCCATAAAGTAAATAAAATGATGTTTATCAAAAGAAGGTTTTTGGTAGCAAGAGAAAGATACTTCTTTTAAGCTGGAAAGCAAATCTGGCTCAAACCAATAATTAGTGAATTTAAAATAGCAGAGGCATTTCCAGGATTAAAGTTTCCATATACTCATACATGTACTATGTTGTGGAAGAATCCTTTTGTACACTGTGAAGATGTGTCACTCGCTGAATGACCAATAACTAGGCAGGATTTTCAGGGCAGAGAGGACGCTGGGAAGAAGGGCAGACGCCAGGGAGATGCAGAGCGAGCAAGCAGGATGGGCACTACAGAGATGAGGTAATAAAGCCACAAGGCAGACAGTAAATTAACAAAAATAGGTTAATTTAAGGTATAAGAGCTAGTTAGAAACAAGCCTAAGCTATTAGCTGAGCTTTCATAATTCATAACAAGTCTCCGTGTCATTACTGGGGAGCCAATGGTCCTGATGAAGAAGCCCAACTACAGTGATACTTGAAAAAAGAAATCAATTTCTTGTCTAAATTAAGACCTATATAATTTTCCCATTTGGTTTTCTCCAAAAAATCAATTTCTTGTCTAAATTAAGACCTATATAATTTTCCCATTTGGTTTTCTCCAAAGACCACTGTTTGCAACACAGTAAAGGACAAACTAGTGTCTGATTTTTTTTCTTTTACTGAAGCCAAGAAAATGATAAACATCACTAACAATGAGCATCACGACAGGGTGTTACACAATATAATTAAACCACATGCAAGGGTGCATGTGCTGGCAGCCAGTAGCCATGTCAGGGACACAGCAGGTGGAACTGAGGTTCCGGTGTCAGCTCACCAGAAGAAAAACTCTGATTGATGTATCTCGTTCAAGCAAGGCTTACAAGAATACAGGCTCCAGAATACCTTTTGCTTCTGCTGTACCTGTTATCTGATATAATGTATAGGTATGTGGGGAGTCTCCCACTGCCTGTATTGTAGTGTGTTTATCTCTTGAAAACA